AGCAACACTGAACATTGTTTGACAACCAAATTGTCAGACCATCAAATTGCTAGATTACGTTGATTGTATTCCACATAGAATTACCCCCCATAGAGATACAATAAATAATTGCTTACACCTTACAAAGTTTTAAACAGGATGGTTAACGTTGATTGTATTTTGTAGTAGTCCAACCTTCAACGCATTTCACATTAGAGCTTCTTCAAGAAGTTAAAGGAGAACTATGACATGAGTGATTTCCACTCACGTCATAGTTCTAAGCCGACCTGTGACAATGAGACTGTCACAGGTCGGCTCAGTAGATCGGGAGGTGAGGGAAAACATACCGGGTTCCCTCACCTCTCGATCCTGTCACGGCTCTCTGCCGTGACAGGGGGAGGGGCTGGATTCCCCTCTCCCCGCTCCGATCTGCCAGCGCTGACTGGAGGGACAGACCGTCGAGGGGGCGGGTACAGCTGGCTCTGCCTCTAGATAGGCAGAAGTTCTCCTTTAAGGAAATTTGCTAGCATGATACAGTAGATATTGTATGATAGTCACACAAAATGTCTAGGTTGTCACAAGGGATAGACGCCAGCCATACCGGAACGTTTGCATACAGGTGGAAAGGACAGAAGTATGCCTTTTCTGATGGTCCAGTACAAGTCCAATAGTATATTGCACCCCAGCCTCTGCACTTAGCACTGGTCAGGTACTTATAACAAAACGTCCATCGCCTCATTCTCCCCAGGGATTTATATATTTATATTTTTCATTCAGACAAGTTACATGGGTACACATTAATGTGCAGTATTTGGTTAAATAAACATTCACTTATTATTATGACCTGAAGGTTACATAAACAGAGGAGGGGCATTATAAGAAGAATAGCAAGATAGCATATTATCAAAATAAATACAAGCAGGCAATAACAAGAGATAAGAAATGTATATGCTTATTTAGTATGTAAAACAAGCCAGGAAGCATGTCACAACTCATTGCCAGTTTGTGTACAGTCCTTGCTAAAAGCACGTGAAGAATTAAAGAAAATGCAGAGCCAAGCCATTAGGAGGTTGGAAGTCACTTTAAATCACATCCTGCTGAGCAGACATAACAATATCTTTTCTGGCATGCAAAATAAGGGCTGAACTGCTCCACTAATAGATAAGAAGGGACATCTCTCCAGGGTTTTACATTGTATACTTCTTTGGCTAAGGCTGGCTATACACTGAGCAAAGTTTGGTTTAAATTTGCCCAGTGGGTGTGTTTGCTGTCTCCTGCCCGAGATCTTTCGATTGGAAAAGCAAAGGTTCTGGGTGGAAAATTGTCAGCTGAACAGCACCTGCATCCAATCAGATGCCGGCACTGTTCAACATTTTGACAGCCAGCTGGGCCAATTATTAAAATACAATAGCTGCAGCAGGAGATTCCTCTAACCACATGGCTTTGCTTGCATGGGGGAATCTGTTAGATTTTTTTTTTGCCCGCTCATCCCAAAATTTGAACAAAAAACAATCTACCAGTGTATACTCAGCTTTAGAAGTGTGCCGCCATTATTTTTTTACTTTTCTAGGCATTTTTTTATTTATATATTTGTTTTTTATATATAAGATGTCTTGATACAATTCAGATAGTTCCATATAATGAAGCAGAAAAGACTAAAAAAGAATAACTTTCTACAAGCTTGAAGCTAGGTACCAATAATTTTCAAAACCAAATGCAACTTCCATATTTAACTCAGTGCAGGCTTCCATTGAAGAGACACTACAGTGTATAGTCCTTGTAATGTTTTCTATATATACAGCTTAATGTAAATAATCTTATCAAGGTTAATAGTTTACAAATCTTGTTTCTATAGTTTGCAAGTATATGTGTACGTAGGGGCAGCTAGATTTGATCATTATATAAACAGGCTTCTTCTAGCCAATTATCTTATCTTACAGATAGTCTGTCTGATTGAAAATAATAGATTATTTTGCAGTCTCTAATCATGTGAAACATTCACAATGCACAGGGTACATGTCATGTTTGCCTAGGTTCTGAGCAGCATTTTTTATGTTTTAGCACAAATAGGTGTTTTTTTTTTTTGCTCAAAAAGTTATCATTTTGTAATATTAACTTGAGCATCACTGACTTACACAAAGTGTGATTTTTGTTTTCCTTTTAATTCTCCATGAACTTTATTTAACAAGAAAAGCATGTGTACAAAACAGATCATAGCAGCAGGTTGTTGTCATGAAACCATATAAAAGGGCGAGACTGTCATAGCTCAAAAACTCAGGCTGTTGACAAAACATCAGTTCTTTCAATCAAAAGGAGAAGAGATTGGGTCTCAATGGAACCCCTGTCTGCCTCGGGCTATCCATTGATATACTAAAGTGGATGACTCCGAAGCAGAGACCGGCGGTCTTGGCTCCAACGTTGTCTCAATCTTTGGTAATATGGGACACAGTGAGGGGGAGCAGAGACTTTGTCTCGTCATACACCCCTCTGACACCAATCTTTCATAACCTCAGGTTTATCCCAGGGATGCAATATGAAGCGTTTCATTGGTGGCAAGACAAAGGCCTGTATCGTATAGCACAATACTTTCGGGACCGCAGCCCTATAACCTTGGGATACTGCCAAGGGGTACTGTATATGCCGAACTCTGAACTGTTTAGATTCTGCCAGTTAAGTCATTTTTTGGCCTCTCTACAGACACCTGCACGAGAGAGGCCGTTTTCAACGGCATATGAAAGATGGTGTCTAGATGAAAAGGGTCAGAGGGGTGGAATAGCATTGATCTACTCATACTTAGTAGAATCGGAGGTAAAATTACCATACATGCTAAAATGGGAATGGGACTTAGCAATGGATATCTCTAAGGAAGCCTGGCAAAGGTGCTGCACTCGGGGATTCTCAGGACTTCTAAATATATCACTAATGGAGGCAAACTATAAAGTAATGTCCCGGTGGTATTTGGTCCCATCCAGGTTGGCTAAAATCTACCCAGATGCGTCTAATGCATGCTTTAGGGGCTGCACCGCACCCGGTACTATGTATCATACTTGGTGGCAATGCCCTAAACTTAGACCCTTCTGGAATAGGTTTTATGCCCTTACATACAGAGTAATGAGTATTCACATTCCAAGAGAAGCTCAATATATATTGTTGAATTACCCAATCCCAGGGCTATCAAAAGCCCAGAATAGACTAATCTCTTTCTTTGTACTGGCGGCTAAAATCACCATTGCCAAAGCCTGGAAGCAATCAAAGATCTCCTTTAAACAATTTAAAACTAAAATATCATGGATCATGATACACGAGAAATTAAACAGTATACTCCAGGATAAAGAACAAGGATTTGAAGTAATATGGTCTCCTTGGATGAAATATAATAACATGTAGTTGCTAAATGAACTAAGATAATGCACGCGAAGAGGGATGAGAGGGAACCCATCAGGAGTCATTTTTATTCTGTAAGGTGGGATGAGTGAGAG